TTTTGTAGTACATGAAGTTCAGTTCACTTTAGAACAAAAAAAAAAAAAAAAAGAATTTTAATATATACACATCATCTTGTGTTTCCTGAATTCTTAATAACTGTAAAACCAACCTTGGGTCATGGGCCGGTCCTGACTGGTCGAGCAGCTGAAACTCACAGTTCTGGCCCAGAAATTGGGCGTACTCCATGAGGCCACTGACCGGGTTCTTCAGCCTCACTTCCTCTAACTTGGCCCGCAGGTTCTGCGGCGGCGGTGCGGCCACCGACACGGCGACTGTTCCCACAGAGTTGGCATTCTGTGCTGCCTGTTTCACGGCCTCGGTCTCTCTGCGAATGGTGTTGAGGTACAGAGGAATATTATCAGAGGCCCACTCTGTGTCGTTGCCTTTGACGTGTTGTGACCTGAACTGGGAGGAGGAATCTCCCTGGGATTGAGAAGGAAACAGGGAAGAATTGTTAGTCCAATCATTCTAGGTCTCCTTTAGTGAAAGACAACATCCTCGAAATTTAGAAAAATAGAATCAGGAAATGGCTGTCAAAAATAACACACTATCCAAGTTCATTTATTTATGAAAGTAATTAGATTAATTACTCTACGATGTCTTCAACTGATCAGCTGACGGACAATTGTCAAAATGTTCAGGACTGTAAACTGAACTGACTAATGTTGTCGAGGACAGAAAGTTGAGGACTGTAGACTGAACTGACTAATGTTGTCGAGGACAACGACTTCACTGAAGTTTCTGAAAGCAATTCTTCATTAAATTGCTGTCGATGAATACTTTTATTTCTTCTCTAGCAATTCCAAATATAATCTCCTATATTTCAATAACCTGATTATAAGAATGTAACAACATTGTCATATTGGTGATGAGTCATCAGATTGACAGGCCTACTGGCTACATTTACACGACTTACTTCCCCTGCTGCTTTGCTGTGACTTGGCTTTGGCTTCCAATTCAGCGGAAAGGTGTTCAATTCAGAATCCGTCATGAGTGTTAGCGGTGAAGACTGTGGCGTCTCTCGTGAAACCGCCACATCCATCCGACACATGTCAGCCTGGTTGGCCTGCGCTGCTTTGAGGCTCCTCTCCATTCTTTCTCTGCAGTGAGTGGAGAGCTCCCACGTGTGCGGCGTGACATCGTGGTTCTTACTGACTTGACCTTGCTTTTCCAGAGCGTACAACGTCGGATTGACGTGCTTGGCATTTTTAAGCCCCAGATTCTTGGCTATGACGAGCGCAGTGGCCTCCCCTGAACCGCAGAGGAAATGCAAAATCTGTTCCTTTTGGTCCGACATCGTGGAAGGCTGTGGCGTCTGCCTGGTGAAGACAGCCGTGCAGGGAGGTTTCCTCTCTTGACCGTGACCTTGTGCAAGAGACTGGAACACTTTGAATTCCACCGACGAAGAAGAGCAGTAGGAAGAAGTGGAATCTGTGTCAGAGTCCTCGTCTTTGACCTGCTCTGTGCCGTTATTCTCCCCTGTTGTAACTTTAACCTCAGCCTTGGAATTTCCAGCGACTTCCTGATGTGATTCTGGACTTCTCACTTCAGAGTTGGCTGGACATCCAACAGGTTCCCTGTAGACTGTCCATTCAGGGGGGAGGATTCCTTGTTTAGAGGCTTTTGCTGAGCGTTCTAAGGCGTAGAGTGCCTTGTTGACTATCTTTTTGGGAAGACGCAGCTTTTTGGCCAAAGCCTTTGCAGAGATGCTCTCACCTGGTTCCAAAGCAGCCAATGCTCTGTGCACCTCCTCCTGGTGGGCTGGTGTTAGGATGATGGTAACCTTCTTTGCGCCTGAAAAAGATGATCTGCTGGATTGTCTCCCAGCTCTTGTTTCTTCTTTGTTGAGCCTGTTCTGACTCAGGGTCAAACTGTGAAAACTGTCACACAAAGAGTTACCTTGTGTGAGCCTCGGCCTTTTGGAGTACTGCCTGTTGCTTTGACCATGTAAATGGTTCACGTCCCGGTGACCGTGGACTTGAGTGCCTCGTGGAGGTTCACCACTGGGGGAGAAAGCAGTACGCTGATCTTGACTGAAGCCACATCTATTCCTGGAGCCGGTGTTGGAGTTTGGATATCTGGTGTATCTTGACTGGGACTGATATGAAGAACTGGGGGACCTGCTGGGGACACTCGCCCCTCTTCCTCCTCTCAGACCTGTTCTGAAATTCGGGGCATCAGACAAGTGTCCCCGCAGAAACTCTGCCTGTTGGACCTGAAAAGAATTAGACACAGGACTGGGACGGGGACTCTGATCTGAATTGTTGAAACCCACAGATTTGGAATCGGGTCTATTGTGGTTGAGAACAGGCGGGGCGACGGGGACACCAGGGGAAGCTGGGTGCGAGGAGTATCCTACAGGAGGGACCAGGCTGTTGTAGCAACTTAAATATGGGAACTGCTGTAGGCCACCTCGAGCAAAGTGTGAGGTCGGAGCAGGCCTGTAAGTCTCCTTGGCCTGGATGTTAGGTTGAGGGTACCTGTGGTAGGGTTCCTTTGAAGGCCCTCCTCTACCTCTGCTCATATCGCAGGGGTTGAATGGGAGGGGGCCAGTGCAGCTGCCTGTGCAGCTTCCGTCAGCGTGTACGTCCTCTACGAAGAAAAAAACAGCTTACCCTGGGAGAACGTCAGGGCAGGCCAGCTGCACACAGCACCTGAAACACAAACAACAGGACAAAGTCATGAGAAAAATAATGAGCAGAATAAAGTCACAGTGAAATAAAGTGGAACACCAGAAAGAGGAGGAGGAAGTGGGGTTTAATTAATGTATCATTTCCGACAGAACAACCACGAGACTGCGGTTTAATTAATGGATCATTTCCGACAGAACAACCACGAGACTTGCTGCTTGTGAGCCAGAAGTGCAGAAAAAAAAAACTACTAAAAGAACTAATAAAATTCATCACCTGAGCATGGGAGGATTATAAAAGAAAAGAAAGATAAATATAAAGTTGGTAAAATTAAAGTGATAAATTTGATTGGTAGCGATGCTGTATATTTTACCATTATACTCATGGCTTTTGTACAAGGACAGCCGGGTGAAATACTGTCCTCTTCAGAACGGAACATAATCCCAGGGTAAAAGGCGATTAATAATTCAGTATTTCTTTCTTGTTGTGACAATGTCCTCTTATATCTGGCCTCAAATATTAGTGCCTGATATTGAGCCACTGGATGGACTCACTGTGTCGTACAAAAAGGACAAGGACTAGGACACAAGCACACAAAGGACTACAGCACATTAGAGAGGATTAAAACAACAACACAACTTATAATGACATCCTCTGGCCTTTACATTATTTGTTCACTTGCACAAACTCAGAGATATTGCTGTAATATTACTCACCAAACAAGTAACAATAGTCGTTTTAATATGTAGGTTAAGGTTCAACAATTTAAGAAAACTGCTGTGAAGAAAGGCGACAAAAAGTCAAACTCTGCTAACAAAAAAAGAAAAGAAAAGTATAATAAGAAAAAGACAAGAGAGAGAAAGAAAAGGGATGGAATTTAAACACCGAGTCATAACCAGCCAGGCACTGAATTCCCCCACTGTTAGATCAACAATGTCATATCTTATCTTAACTTGTGTCCTTCGATCCAGTCATCATCTTTTTTTAATATCATCATTAAATATAAAGTAACCAAACTGCAGATACAAATATTGACAGGTCAGATTAGATTGTATTTCCTACAAAATGGTCACTTATTGAATCAATTTAACTAAAATTACAAATCACTCAAAATTCCTCCAGCGTGGAACAAACCAAGAAAAATAACGACATTATAATTCATTCGCTCCGTCGCTGCTCTCTCCCTTGCCCTCTAGAGGGCGACCCCCCTCAACACACTTTGGGAACCACAGGTCTAGTGTAAACCGAGCAACATGTTACAATGTAACAGTGGACAGAAGAAAAAAAAAACCGACACCTTTTTTACTTTCTTCGTGTTCTTGCCCATGCAGACAGATGAAGACAGACAGATGCTATAATGCTATGCTACTTAATAACACATGAACACACGGCACACCCTTTATGTAGCAGCAACTGTTCCAGTGAAGCACCGTGTGCTGTGAATCTCACCTTCATCAACAACAAACCAGAGTCAGCGGTGGGAACTGTTATCAACGGTTCTCCGGTGTTTGGAAGAATAAAAAACTTAAATAACCGTAACATTTTTGCGTAAATATCCAAACCGTTTGTAGTGTTTTTTTTTAAAAAAAGCAGAGAACAATTGTATTCCAGCGTGCAGCGTCTTCCGCCTTGAATAGACCACGTTCAAGAAAGCAACTTCAGCAGTTACAAAGAGTTTACGGTGCTATGACGTAACAGCAAGTTTCTTTGCATTACGTCGTACGGTGATGCAAACGTGCAAACAAGAATCGCCTAGAAAATCGAACACAAAACAACAAATGTGAAATGTGTTTCCTTTTCCTGAGAAGTGGATATGGATCTATTGTGGTCACGTGACCTTGATTCGAGCACCAAGGGCGGGCTAAGTGACGCACAACTTCACACGAGCAGGGCTTTCAAAATGAAAGTGATAGTTTCACAGTGTGGACCATCCACCCATCGTGTGGATACAGAGGTCGCCGTTGCTCCAGCGGGAAGGACATCCTCGAGGACGTGTGTTGCGTCTACACGTCTGGACGGAAGGACACTTCGTTTTCTTCTCTTTTTCAGGGATAAACCCGAGGCTGGTGGCAATGCTTTTCCAATGGAATGACATCGATAATATTACATTTTGTTGTAGACTGTAGACACCGGCACGTTTATGAATACATTAAATTGTTCTATTTAATCATAAAAAAGCTCAAAAAGTGAAGGAGAGCAGTTTTCTTTTATTACAGTCAATGTCATTTTGTAGCGCTGCTACGATGATGCCTTTCCCGCAGCTTTGTCAACAAAATGATGAAAAATTAATGTAATGAGGTTTTTGTCTACGTAAAAGTTGATTCTTTATTCACGAAGAATATATTGTTATTATCATTTTTATTAATAATAATCAGGAACGGTGTGGTTTGACCCGGCAAATAAAGCGCACCTGGTGTTCTGCACTACGGGAATAAAGACATTTGTTGATTCGTATGTTCCGTCACTGCCACTAGGTTTTCAGATAAAATAATAAAAATGTAAACTATAAACAACTATATATACACCATAAACCACAATATAATTAACACTTCAAAACGAGAAATTAAATTAAAATGTTCCTACTTTTCCTTTTTTTTTTTTTACAAATCCGTAAGCATAACATCATTAGTCTATGAACTCCCCGCTATATTCTGTACCTTTTTTTTAAATCCTTGACCATAACATCATTAATCTATGAACTCCCCGCTATATTCTGTACAAATCCCAGAACGTCATTATTTTTAATATCACGAATGGCAGTAAATACATCGCTGTTTAAAATACTGCGTTATTCCCGAACGGCAGATAAATGATTCGTTTTTTCCCACCACCCTATAAATAAAAATGATATTGTTTTGAAAATATGTTTTAACGGTCGGACTCAGAATGAAACTGAAATGCTCGTCAATGTTTAAACTGAATGTTCGTAATCAAATATATTTGAAAGAACATACTGTAATCCACACATTTTCCAAACCAAAAACAGAGAACAGTCGTGTTTGGACTTTTAACGGATGAGGCGCTAATGTTAGCTGCTAGCTCCGCACCAATGCAGCACTTTCTTTACCTCCGCCACACACACCACAGTAACACAAACGTCTGCTGAATCGGAAAAATAACATCAAAATAACAGTCAACCAGCAACCCTAGAAAGAGTATACATACAACTAAAACCCCGCGATATAACTTACCTTCAGAGTATTTTGGCTTTGTTTGGATGTTTGGTCCGTTGGATATTTGAAATGCGGCGACAGTGAAACGATGGGCTGTAGTGACGTCAAATATGCACGACCAGAAAAAAAATTACAAACATGTCGCACGCGAATGACGTACCCACACAGGCAAGGTTCAAATAGTTTAGCTCACTGTTTGAGGCTTTAAGGTCATAATAAAGAATAAATACATTTTAAAAAAATATGTGAAAATATATGTTGTCTTTACTAGATTGATACAAATTCCAAACTTCAAACCGATACTCCAAATCACTCAATCAGTATAGAGGATTACAACACGGAAGCTCAATTTTGGCTTTTGGACGGCTAAAAAATAACAGAAAATACATATAAAATATATAAACAAATAATAACAGATATACACAAATACATATAAAATATATAAACAAATAACAAAATATAAACTTTAAAACTGTATTAATGTGCTTTTAACAGTATAGGTTTTAACAGTATAACCAAGGTATAATTGTATTTTTATTTTACATAAAAAGACAATTTTATAAACAAAACACATGTAGTTTTCGTAAATCCAGTCTCGTAGAGACTATATATCTGTATAGATATACTGATATATATATACAGTTTTAAAAAAAAAATATTTTATTTCTTCTGTATTGCCAGTGAACACGACGTTCCGTCGAGGAAAAACACTGCAGTTCAGGCAAGTGATTTGATTTTGCACTTCAACAACTCATCCTGTAGGTGTCAGGGTTTCTCTGTGAATGTACAGTATTAATAACAGCTATGTGTTGTTGTTAAAGCAGCTTTGGAGCTGGGTGCCAACTCAAATAAATACATTTAATAAAAACTTTTTAATATATTTTCATTCATCGTCAGTTTTTTTATTTTTACAAATTAACGAGATTACATACTATTAAATGTAAATATTTTCTTCTAGTTTTGACATATATAACTAAACTATCTCTGATAATAGTCCTCATTCATATGATAAATACAAAATAAAATAACAATCCACTGCAGTGACTTAGGATCACTGCTGTGGGTTGAGAAGTAATTATAAGATGAGAAGCATAAAAGCTTAGTTCAGGCTGTGGATCAGTGGATGCCTGGATGATTCAAACACACATTATCCCTCTCTCTTCAGGGGAATATTCAGCTAACAGCCTTTCTCACCCATTACACCTCCCCTGCTCCATCTTGCTCCCCCTTTCCCCTCAATTCTACGCTCCGTCACTCGTGCACAGTCTCTTCACTTACTTCTTTCACAGCTCCTCTCTCCTCTCCTCCACTCCACACTGACTTCTCTCCTCCTGTCTGTCTCCCTCCTTCTCCATTAGTCTTTATCCTCTTTTAATTCCATGCACTTTGCCTCCTCGGGTGATTCAGATGACGGCAGCATGTGGCAGGCTGTGGCTCTGTGGCTGCTGATGCACATGACTCTTCCCCAGGGTGAGTGACTTTCATTCGGGCTGCGCTTGAACAAGTGTGTGTTTTTGTAAATATATACGGCATCCGTGCTTTTCAGCGTCTCTGGCTGCGAGCTCCCTGTCCTTTGTGGACACGTTCTCTCAGTTAAAACACTGGAAGAATGTCTGAGGCTTTGCAGCAAAACAGAAAGAAAAATATGATGAGCAAGCAACAGATTAAATGAAGTCATGTTTACTGTAGAATGGGAGCTGCCGTGTACAGGATGGACAGATAGATAGATAGATATATAGATAGAGATATCTATATATATAGATATATAGATAGATAGATGTTATAGACATAATACTCATAGCTCATAGATATAGACCTCATTAGTAATGATTACAGTCTTTTGAGTAAATGAAGACGAAGGCGATAAACAAATCAAGTTTTACATAATTAACTTTTACTATGTTTATCTTAACTGAAGTCACATGATACAGTACACACTCATACTTGTTTTTGTGTCATGGCATGCATTCCGTAGCCATTGACTCTGTTTGATTTATTACAAATATGTGTCTAATCCTAATCCTTACTTTACCTAAAAAAAACCCACAGTTTTTGTTCTGACTCCAAACTTAACTCTCACCTAAAAAAAACCCCCACAGTTGTTGTTCTGACTCCAAACTTAACTCTCACTCAGTCAGGAGCTGCAAAAAATCCCTGCAAGGACAAAGTGTCCCCATTACAATAGAACTTCAAGTATAGCTACTGTATACCTAGATTACACACACACACAGGGCAGGTTTTTGTGTGTTTTTTTGGGGGGTGGACTTTACACAAGCATAATGCACTCCTCTACCAGAAACACACACTAAATCCTTAATCTAACTCTAATCTAATTCTAATCCTTAATCCAATCTGAAAATACTCTCTCTCTCAGTGCATACCTGTAATGAGTCCCTACAAGGACCGTGTCCCCACAGGTGACGCCTACACACACACACGCACACACACACCTCTCTGTCAAGTGGGTAAGAAAAAAGAAGTTCTCCACTTTCATCGCAGTGAGTGCTGGGTCCGTCCGTCCGCTGATTCACTGTTTAATGGCCTCACTATTTCTTTCATGGAACGAAGTCGACACTTTTACAGCAGCGAGAGACCGACTGTACGCTGGTGATCAATCAGGGGAGTAATTGATTAGGATGAGAGCAGTTTTCCTCTCTGTTCTCTCCTCCCTTTCAATTTCCATGTCCTCACACCACCCCCCACCCCCCCACCCCCCCCCCCCCCCCCACACCCCCCCCCCCCCCCCCTTGCCTTCT